TTCCGCGGCCAAGCACTCCTCCTTCCGCGACACCGTGGAGGCCGGGTCGGCGGGGTCCAGAATTAAGTCTATTCAAAAAGCTTTCCGTAACCAACACAAGGACCGCTTTGAGACAGAATTGAAGGTGAGTTTTTGACACTGCACATTCCGTACCGGAGAAACGAACATGCTGCATGTTGCGTGTGACATCGTGTTTCCCGACGCAGCCGCGGCGCGTTATTCTACCGGCGTCGTCGGGGTTTTTGACGCGCCGCTGGTGCAGGCCGAGCGAACGGTGCCTTTCGTGACTTCCAGGAGGAGCTGCAGCGTCTGCAGCAACAACAGGAAGAGGTGCTGCTTCTGCAGCAACAACACCAGGAGGAGCTGTAGCATCTCCAACAACTGTTGCTGTGCCAACAGCAACATGATGAGGAGAAAGTGAGTCACAGTCGTGTACACATTTATTTTTTAAGCGGTCTTGCTTCTAGCGTTGAGGTATAGAATTTGGAAACAGCTTTGTTCAGGAGCTGGTACTTGGAATATGCTTGAGATATGCAGCTCGCTGCAATTGACTAGACTAGTATCACAGTTCATAGGGGTTTCAAGGAACTAAAGAACTTAATTAACTGGAGGGTCTTGTATTCCACATTGCGCTTCAATGGTTTTCATAAAGACTTCATTACTCACATGAATGACCCTTTACTTTTTGTTTGTGACAGGCTCACTTAACGTTGGAGGTAACCCGACTGAACACTGAAATATTTGATTTAAAGGTAAAGAATCTTGTGAAAAATAAATTGTTTTAGATACCTACTAGTGTTGTGTTTGAATGGGTTTGTGATTATGGCCGATTTGTTGCAGGGGAAAATTCGTGTAATTTGCCGGATAAGGCCCGTTCCTCACTCCACTTCTCAAGTTCCTTTGAATTCAGCAGCGCGCGGCGCGACAGGCCCGACGCCCCCCTCCCCCTCGGCCGCGCCGGCGCGGCCCCTGTTCGAGCCGTCATAAACGGCGCTCAGCGGGTCCCCAATTTTTACGGCCGTCAATATGGAAGGCTTCAGTCTTCGCGATGCATTTTGTACGCAACCACACCAATTGTTTTTGGAGTGTGACAGGCCAATAGCTCATGATGAGACGGCAATTTTGATACCAAGCAACACAAAAATGTGACGGTAGGGAAGATTCAGCCTGCGTGATGCGTTCTGCGCGCAATCACGGGCATCAGTTCGCAAGTGAAACAAGAAGGAAAGACATCAAAGAATTGATATCACATGGGAGGGACTCGTTCTTTACAAAGCTAGATTGATGTGTCAGTCGCTGATCGTTACATGAATTGTCCTCTGACGATTTGTAATTTTGCCTTTCAACGAACGCTTCCGGTTGGTTCTCCTCTCAGGCAGGGAACATCGATGCATCGCGATATCTCGAGATATCGATTCTCGTGCATAATCGAATTTACACTAGAGTCCGTGAGTCCATGAGAGAATGGCTTTGTTCATGGTGAGTCCGTGCCAAAAACCTGCTTTTTCCATGACCAAAACCCTCAGAAGGACACATTTATTTTAGAAAACAGTCAAATGAAACTTATTATTTCATCTCTCATCTCGAATATAAGACGTGCAACACCATCAAAAAGAAATTCATTAAGATGACACAGCTTGCAGTTCTGAGACATGTATCATGGTTAGGGTCAAACAATGTTTCGTTATTACCAAATTTCTCAAAATAATCCATTGTCACTTGCAAAAAACCCTCCTAGTTTTTTGTTGGCCAAAGATCTCGTGTCATTGGTGTTGTACTTTGCGTTTCAGTGGCGTTCAACATCAAAAGATACAGACACGTGAAAAGAGGTTAGTTTCTCATAGTGCACTAAAAACGTCTCTTTCATGTTCATTTTCTTAATATTTCTCATTGCAAGTAAAAAAAAAACTTCATTTACGATCAAGCGACTGACACTCCATCTTTCATTTGATACCACTCTCATTTTCCCACATGCTGTGAGATCTGAGATGAAAGATGTCCCCCCAAAACTCATTTTTGAACACAATACTCGTTCTCTTCACATAGAGTTTTGTATGTTAGTGAGTGGTGTGTAAAGAACGAGTAAAAAATTGAAAAAAGTTTCATGAAACGAATCACGTATTTTGAAGGTGCTGAAACCAATGTTGCATTCATTTTTGTTTTAGCTCTTTCCGTTTGACCCAGCGGCACACTTAGACAAAGTTTTTGGTGCAGTTAGGCAACCCGCACGAACCGCATCGCCCCCAAGTTAAGCAGCCGGTGGTCGGGCCGGTCCGAAAGAAAATGCGGATATGAAATTCATTGGCAAACGTTTTCGGGTGTCTCCCAACAAGTCTTTTAACGGCATTGTTGTCCCCTACTGAGGATCATTGTAGTGTAGCGGTAAGCACGCCTAGCCAGCAATCCCAAAACGTTGGTTCGCATCCCGACATCGCGACATCTTTTTCTCAGAGCTCTAGTTCCTTGATGAAGCAATTGACGCTCTTACATTCGTTCTGTAACTTTTGGTTCTGTCCAGAGCACTAAGTTCTGAAGTGTTTGTCACGCCTGGCTTTCAAGTTGAAACCGTGGGTTCAAATTCCGAAATAGCGACCACATGTTATATCAGATTTCGGTCGTGTCTCGACGTCTCGACATAATTGGACTTTTATATAACACATTTTTTGCGAAGTTCTTTAATTTTCCTTTTTGTTTGGCTTTAGTTATAATCATCACGTTAAGCCCACACCTATAATGCTTTACATTTGTTCTTAATATTCCGTTTTGTGCAGCGGGTCATTTCCCTTCGTGCTTTGATTGCCAAATTTTTGTGCCCGTTTTTCACTCTCAATTTTGCAAACTTTTAATCAGTTTTATCCTTTTTCAGGCACCATGCCTCGTGTTTTCCACTTTACAGCCCCATCTGACGTCGAGCTGACGCAAATTACGTGTTGCGCGTGCTTCCACACTTTTGTTGACCTCAATGGATTGCAGCGCCACCAAAAAACTTTCCCATGCTGTAAGTATCTTTTCTTTTTACTAGCTTCGTTAATCATGAAAGTTGAACAAAAATATTGCTCTTTAAACATTTCTTGTAATATATATTTTAATTAGTAATATTTTCGACAAATTTGATCGGTCGTACATTAAAGATCATATCTTCGTTTTCCGTTAATAAATCTATAATTTTAGACAACTGGTTTACAAAAAATAAAAAATATCAAAAAAGGCAACAGTTTTAAATAACTGCTCTCAAACCACGACGTTTGCCCCAACCCAAGCTCTTTGACTGTTTCAGGTGAAAATGCTCGCCCCTTCACTACACGTCGCCCTTGGGCTGTGCCCGATAAATTCCTAAAGTTAGCCGTACAGGACAATCTCAGTCCATTACAGTACCGTGAAACGGGGTAATTTCGGACACTCGGTGTAATTTCGGACAACTCTACCCGGAAGCATGGCAATGATGCTACCATCTAACGGCCAACTTGGAGGCTTGTCCCGTTGCGCGCATCGCATCCACTCTACAAAAAATGTCCTGTCAACGCCGTTAATTTATTACCAATGTTTGCTGTTTTGCAATTCACGGCGTTTGCTGTGAACTAGTTCACGGCGTTCACTGTGATCTCGGTTACAGTGTTCACTGTGATCTGGCCACAGTAAACGCCGTGAATTGGAGCCTGATTTGCAGTACTTCGGTGCTTAGCGGCGTCAAAATCACAGTGTTTACTGGGGACCAGATCACAGTGAACACCGCGAACAAGATCACAGTGAATCCCGTGAGCAGATCACAGTAAACGCTGTGAATTGACCTACAGTGAAAACTGGTAATAAATTAACGGCATTTACAGGACATTTTTGGTAGAGTGTCGGCCACACTTAAAACCATCTGATCAATCACCCGGAGGCCAAATCAGGGGCAAACTTCAGGAGAAAGAGTGGTTTTTGTATTTAACCATTTTTACCTAAATTCGCTTTATGCTTAAAAACTTTGACTGGCGAACCGAAACTGTTCATGGCCGGTTCATGAGGTGATTGTTTGTCGATTCGATCATGTTAAGAGCATACTGTGTCAAATTTTCAATCACCTGGGTCAAAAAGTATGGTTTATATGGGCTCAAAACTAAAAAATTGTTACTTTACGGGGTAATTTCGGACATACAAACGTCACGCCAGGGAGAGTGGGTTTGTCCTGAACACTTTCTATTTCGCAGTGTTTGAGTGGTAGAAGCTGAAGAGCTCTACTGGAAGTTGAAGATAATCCAAAAACAACGATAATCCCCAATTGTTACAGCGGTTGCTTTATAAACTTCGAATTTCATATAAATGGGGCAAAGCTACATCTTTAATACTTAGTTTTATGTGCATATCCTACCTTAGTGTCAACGACTGTTTTGTGATTAATTTTCTTTCATGTGACATGATAGTAAGGCTTGGCGAATGGCTGCATAGCTCGCCGGTTTACTTCAATTGAAATGCAAACCTTTCCACTGAATCCCTGAATCTTCCGAACCGTACAAACGACACGACTACTTGCCCCTCATACGCATGTATGTAATTGTATGTAATCTTGTGGAGGAAGATTTAAGATTCACTTTCGCGAAAAATGTATGGCCCGAGTAGCCTATGAAAGCTAATCGGTCAAAAATTAAAAAATAGAAGCGTTCTAAATGGCTCTACCAGTTCCACCCACTATTCCTGAAATCCAACTACATATGAGTGCAAAACATGACCTCAAATTATGTATGAATGACCACCCCTACCATATCTTTACATCTAAACCCTTACGAATTTCTCATAAAATCATATTAGCACTTTAGAAACAGTCAGTGATCGATTTTGGGACCAAAATCAGAACGAAAAGTCGTTTTAACCAGGGGTGTCCGAAATTACCCCAAAACACGGGGTAATTTCGGACACTGCTTCGGACCCTCCACTGTAAAAACGGTGAGGTGCAGATATTTGAAATAAGCGCCAAATCGAAGCTAAAGGTGGGTAGATGATAAATTTTAACCCTCAAGTCCATGACAGCACCACAACTTTCACAATTTCGAAAAAAACCATCAAAAGTGTCCGAAGTTACCCCGTTTCACGGTATTTAAAACGTAAGTGCCAAATTCTGTTGAAAGCTTGAGATTCATGTGGCTTTTTGTCATGAGAGTGCAAGCAGCTCATTCGGTCAAAGGAAAAAGAATACACTGACCTCCTCTTGTAAGTAATCGGTATCAATTGCTCTGCACTTTCAAACAGTGTTTTTATATTCTTAGCAGCCTAGTCTTTGGCCCATCCCGTATTTTTTTAATTGTGAAATTAATACCAACTGGAAGGGAATATAGTTTGATGCATGCTGTGCGTCCGTTGGTCCGTATAAGGACTTTCGGTCTTCTAATCTTGACCGAATTTGGTATACGGCGTCCTAAGGTGTCCTTAGATTCCTACTGTGGCAGCAAATCCAATCCAAGCCCCGGGGACACTGCTGCAGGTGCGTCATCGTGAAGAGGTATTTTTGGAATCGAGATGACGAGACAATGCCGACGGTCCTAGATTCGAGCAAATTGGAGAACTTTAGACCCGGGTTTGTTGCAACCAGTTGAATTGCAACTTTTTTTGAATTGTTTCACTTGTTTTTGAGGGCACTGATGACAGTTACAATTTTGACACCACACTTACGTGAAGTTTCCGATAGGGTCAACATATGCAAATCTTCCATACGTCCAATGTGCGGGACGGGCCAAAGTTGCCAATGTCTATTGCTCCTGTCATTATATTTCAGTTTGTTTTCGTTTACTTTAGGAAATATCAACAATTAGAAAATGAACTAAAAAATGCTTTTACTAACCGAACAACTTTAAAAGTTGAACTTAACAAAATAGAAGAAGAATGTAAGAAACAAGAAGCCCGATATGAACTTCTACGGGCAAAAGCATCTATGAACAAAGGAGCGTAAGTGCTTTATACTGTTTTTTTTTTCGTTTTTCATGCTTGCGTTTTGAGAAAAAGTGTGTAACATAAGTTAATTTCTTGGGTTGATTTTGTTCCAGAGTGAAACGAATCTTAGAAGAGCAGGCGTTACTAATTGAAAAGAGTATAAAAAAACTACATATAAAAATTGAAGCTCTAAATATCGAAATTGCGGCTCAAGAGCTAAAATTGAAGAACAAAGTTGAAGCCAACAGGAAAATTCGAGAACTGTTACACTAATTTTATAAATTCTGGCTTGTAAATAGAGGGAAGGTCCAAAGTTGTAAAGTTTCAAAAGATGTTCCAAGTAGCTATGTGAGACACTGTTAAAAGCTCCAACTTGATCCAGTGCTAGTATAGCTAACTTTGATTTGCTTCTGTTGGCATGGTGAATTGTATTTCTTATAAGATCCAAATTGTTATAAATTGTTCTGCCCGGTACACAGTAACTTTGAACAGATTTTAAGAGAGATGGTAGCACTGTTGAGATTCTTCTTCCAAAAATTCTTGTTATTATTTTGTAGTCACTATTTATTAATGAAATTGGTCTCCAATTTTTGAGGAGAGTCCTATCTGGGGCAGGGCGGGAGGCAGCGAGAGGACAGGCAGGAAGAGGAGGGGCAGGAAGAGGAGAGAGAGCGAGAGAGAAGAGAGCGAGAGGAGAGACAGCAAGAGCGAGAGGAGAGACAGCAAGAGCTAGAACAACTCAAGGAGCGTCATGCTCAGGAGATAGTGAGTCCCTAGTGTACTAGCGTACACATTTATTTTTTTAGGCGGTCTTGCTACCGCTTCTAGCTCTGCATCCGATCCCACTCCTCCCATCCCATCCATAGACGGACGTGCTTCTTCACCTGCCCTCCTGATTCCTTCCCCCCCGGCGTCACTTTCACTATCTTCTGAATAGTTTTCCACATTTCTCTGAGGTTCTTGCCATTATTATCGAGCTGCGTGGTGTAGTACTTTTCCTTATTTTTTCTATTAGTGCTAGTTACGAGGTTGCGGATTCTTCTAGTCATCTCTCACAGCCTGGTTCGCTGGATAGAGTTTTGTTTGCTTGTATAAGGCATCCTTCCGCTTGCAGAGATTTCTGTACGCTTCTGTTATCCAGGGGAAGTGGTGTTCTATATTTTTTTTTAATTGTTACCCTTGAATTTTCTGATATGCCAATTTTGATGAGGTCCAGGAGCTGGTCTTCTAGCTTCTAGCTCTGCATCCGATCCTACTCATCCCATCCTATCTATCCAATCCATCCATCCATCCATTTAGCGTGCTCGGAGGGGACTGCATGGTCGTGTTGGTTCCGTCGTCCGTCGTCGTCCTGCGCCGCCGCGCCGTCCCCACTCCTCACAGCCACCCCCTCCCCCGTTGCCCCCTCTCTGCCCAGCCTCCCCTGCCGGGCCACGGCAAGACCGCTTTGCTAAGCTTGCCTTGGCGGAACTTTTTTGGATGAGTAGAGATATAGGGGAGGCCATGACGCCGGCGGGTTTGGCTTGACAGTGTTCCGAAATGGTTCGACTGCGCGACGAAGGTCGAAGGTGCCGTCAAATCCGCGAAACGCCAAGGGCTTGTCTTGGGCGGGACGTGGCCCGGCGCGCATGGCAAAGGACTCCCGAAGGCTGTGTGGGTCTTCCTTCCCTCGCGTGCAGGCACTGCTAGGCACTGCCCGTCGAGGCACAGCCTGTCTGCCAATCGACGAACGAATTACACGGTCAGCGCGAGCAGCGGGCTGCATACAGTGCAGGGGCTTCTCGTCTCTCTCTCTCTCTCTCTCTCTCTCTCTCTCTCTCTCTCTCTCTCTCTCTCCCCTCTCTCGTCGTGTGCATGCAGTTTCATTACATTACGCAGCTTGTCATGAGATTTTCATTACATGTCATTAAATTTTTCAAAAATATTTAAGCATGACTGATTTTTTTTGGATTTGTCCAGGATCTAAATTAAGCTTGGCCCTTTCGCTGTTGCAGATGGGAGAAGAAGTTCCATGGGAGCCACACGGCCCGGCCGCCCTCCAGGCAATGCTGGATGACCGCGGCAGACGCTGCCCAAATTTGTGGGACGTGGATGCGGTGATGGCAGCGTGCGCCGCGGCAAAAAATGCCTCGTTCAAGCGGACGGCGGAGGCGGGCGGCGCCAAAACCCGCCTGAAAAGCATACAACAAGCATTCCGGAAAAGGTTTAAAATACCTTTCCGAGAAGAGCTAAAGGTGAGTTTTTGACACTGCACATTCCGTACCGGAGAAACGAACATGCTGCATGTTGCGTGTGACATCGTGTGTTTCCCGACGCAGCCGCGGCGCGCTATTCTACCGGCGTCGTCGGGGTTTTTGACGCGCCGCTGGTGCAGGCCGAGCGAACGGTGCCTTTCGTGACCTCCATGCGCCCTTTATCCAACAACATCTAAAAGACCGAAGCGTGACATGGCATGACATCGAGGCGGACATCACCGTCCTCCACCCAAGTCTCCTCGCTTCTGGGAAACGCGAGGTGGCGGCCTTTGACGCGAACCGCCCTCGAAGTGTCAAGGCGGCGTTTGTTCGGAAAGGGACCCATCACGCCCAATTCACGAAAGATGCCCAAGTTAGTTGGCTGACATTCGACACCAGTGTTGCAAACCTTCACTCTTCAAATTCAACACAGACAGTAAGATCTCACTACAAATTTACTTTATTAGAAGTTGCACTCGATTCTAAATGACTAGTCTAACCTACCCCAGCTAACTTAAACTTAGTCGTCCGTGGGCCGTGGGGTGCAGTGCGGCGCCCGTAGGATATGATTTCCACCTGGCCTACATTCTAGCCGCACTCCGGAGGAAAGGAGTCACGTGGGCGGCCATAGAAGAAAACTTTTCTGTGGTCCACCCCGTACTACTCGCATCAGGCAAACGCGAAATCGGGCTGCACTGCCCGAACAGACATCGATCGGTCAAGGCGACGTTCGTGGCACGAGGGACGCATCACGCCCGGTTGCTGGCGGACCTTAAGGTTAGTTGGCTGAGTGACAGCGAAGCCCTTGCCGTGTTTGGTGTGCAACTCTGTGTTGAGGTTAGCCGGCATCGTCCTGTGCCTAGGGGATTTTTTCCAAACCGGGACGAGTTGACCCATTCCTAGGAACTTGGCCGGACTCGGCCGGGGCTTGGCCAAGGCTTAGCAGGATTTCCATAGGGCGACCTTCTCGTCTCTCTCTGTCTCTCTCTCTCCTCTCTCTCTCTCTCTCTCTCTCTCTCTCTCTCTCTCTCTCTCTCTCTCTCTCTCTTCTCTCTCGTCGTGTGCATGCAGTTTCATTACATTACGCAGCTTGTCATGAGATTTTCATTACATGTCATTAAATTTTTCAAAAATATTTAAGCATGACTGATTTTTTTTGGATTTGTCCAGGATCTAAATTAAGCTTGGCCCTTTCGCTGTGTTGCAGATGTCGAGAAACAGCGTCCCGTGGTCGCCGCATGGCCCAGCCGCCATACGGGCGGTGCTGACGGCCCGGCTGGAGAAGTGCCCCGAGAGGTGGGATGCTGAGACCGTGGAGGCCATGTGCTCCGCGGCCAAGCATTCCTCTTTCCGGGCGACTGTGGAGCCGGGGTCGGCAGTGTCCAGAGTCGGCTCCATTCAAAATGCGTTCAGGCACAAATTTAAGGGCCGCTTTAAAACCGAACTTCAGGTGAGTTTTTGACACTGCACATTCCGTGCCGGAGAAACGAACATGCTGCATGTTGCGTGTGACATCGTGTGTTTCCCGACGCCTGAGCTGAGTCATTCACCCCTCGGTTACTACCCTCTCAAAGATTGATGTTCTTTACTGAGCTTATCCCACTCTGCAAGAGCGTGCTCAGCGCCATCTTTCCAGTACTTTTCAGATCACGTCACTGCATCCAGTTGGGATCATGTATCAGTAAGTTTCGGACAAATCAGAAGCAATAAAAAAATACGGAAGAGCACATCTACGTTAAGGAAGCTAGCCACATCCTTCCAGACATTTACATTGTTGGCTGAGCGATAGCGAAGCCCGTTACTCCAGTGAGGTTGAAAACTTTTTCTGTCTGCGTGCGTGCGTGCACTTCTCCTTAACGGCTCGGCTGATCCGGCTGAGATTTAAAAGGGTCATTCGGTATGTCCTTGGCTCGCCACACACCAAAATGCAGCTTAGAGTTTTGCTTGCTTGTATAAGGGATCCTTGCGCTTGCAGAGATTTCTGTACGCTTCTGTTATCCAGGGGAAGTGGTGTTCTTCTATATTTTTTTTCAATTGTTACCCTTGAATTTTCTGATATGCCAATTTTGATGAGGTCCAGGAGCTGGTCTTCTAGCTTCTAGCTCTGCATCCGATCACTGAGAATGAAAGAGTCACCACCACCGCCCTTTCATTGGGTAACGCACGCACCGTTGCCCAAATTTGGGTGACGAGCCCGCGGTGACCAAATTTTGGGCAGTCATAAAATCGTTGCCCAAATTTGGGTAACGCCGTCGGCGACGCCGTAAGGTCACCGTTGGCGCTCTTCCGGGGCCACCACGATGACCCAATGTGGCGTTGAGGCCTCCGGTCATCGTGGTTGCCCCGGAAGGACGGCATTGGGAACCTCACAGCGTCGCCGACGGCGTTACCCAAATTTGGGCGACCAAACGCCTGTTACCCAATTTTGGGTGATGAATTTTTCGTCACCAAAATTTGGGCAACGAAGTTGCATCACCCATTTAAAGGGTGATGGTGGTGACCAATTCATTCTCAGTGATCCTACTCATCCCATCCCATCTATCCAATCCATCCATCCATCCATTTAGCGTGCTCGGAGGGGACTGCATGATCGTGTTGGTTCCGTCGTCCGTCGTCGTCCTGCGCCGCCGCGCCGTCCCCACTCCTCACAGCCACCCCCTCCCCCGTTGCCCCCTCTCTGCCCAGCCTCCCCTGCCGGGCCACGGCAAGACCCCCGGGTGGAAGGATCTTTAGTTAAACTGTAGTTTCAACTACAGTACCAAAACTGCAGTTCCCGAACTAAAGTTAGTTTTAAAAAGAAACTGAAGACTAAATACAATTCCACTTTGCAGTTGAAATTGTAGTTTTCTGTCAGTTCACAATGTAGTTTTAGTGTTGATTTGAAGTTCAGTTGGAGGTTCAGTTTAAGTTTCAGTTACAATTTACTTAATATCCATTTCTGGAAGTAAAGCGACTGCTGAAAATAAATATTCAAAAACTGTCTCTCATCTAGTATGTTTCCGTACTTAGTATGTATTTTAAACATATTCTCTTATCGAC